AGAAAAGTTTGGTAGTACAAATTGGGGTCTGGCTTCTCTCTTTTGTGAACCCTAAACAGCTTTTCTCCTTACAATTTATTCCCCTTCAGACCTCACTTCAACAAACATGTATGCTATTATCCTGTCCAATCAACTATCCTCTTTCAGATTTCTTGGTTATGTTAACTATAAAAGGGGATGTAAGCTAAAGATCGGGGTTCCTTCTTTGAAGGAGTAATCCCTTTTGTCTGATTATTCTGATAAATTGTAATAAAATGATCTTCCCATCTCGGTTTGTCTCATTGGAAAATATGCACACCGAGGCACTAGCCTGAAAAAGCCATATTTGCCCATCACTTCCCAGGGCAATTTTAAGATATATGGCAGTGATGGCAAACGTTTTTCTTACGGCATGCCAAAATTGCCCGTGTGTGCACTATCACGAGTGTGCCCACATGACCCCATGTGACCACCACCCCCGCACACATGCGCACACAACTCCTCCCCAGGCTCCAGAGGCTTTCCTGAAGCCTGGGAAGGGTGGAAAACGGCCTCCTCTGGTCCTCCAGAAGGGTGAAAAATCAGTTGGCCGGTGCATGCATGTCTGCCAGAGCTGAGGACTGCCATGCCAGCAAAAATGGCTTGACGTGCCACCTGTGGCATGCGTGCCATAGTTTCGCCATCATGGATTCAAAATTTTCCAAAGGTGTCAAGGTTGAAAAAATTCTGTCTCGGAGAGTGGGATGCTGGCTTCCTTCAGCATGAGAATGTTGCAGAGAAACTGGGTTTGAGTTGAGCTTGTCTCCTAGATCATCCTCATCATGGTTCCATTCGCTCATTGTTGGCGATATCACTGGTGGGGAATGTAGTATGTGGCACATGCCTCCTCTATGTTGCTAAACAGTATTATCTTAAAGCCCGAGACTGGGATAGTGGAGGAAATAACAACACCCTGTTGTTGAAGCTTCTTCAGCTCTGACTGGATCGTGGGGAATCGAAGGACTGAGCTGAAGAAGCTTCTTGGATGAGAAGTGAAACGTCTTCAAAGAAAAACCAGAAAGTCCAGTTGCCTCTGGAAAAAAGTCCCTTTGGGACAACATTGACCTGGATGACTCAAGCAATCTCAACCAAACTTGGTACACAGATAACGTACTCTTTGGAAAGAAGTACTGTGGGGGTAAGACACCCCTAACACCCCTTGGAGTGTGTGTTCTGTTAAGATACAGCCTGTAGTGCCTTAAAATGGCTTCTACCGTACTGCAGTTAAAATGGCTTCTACTGTACAGCACAGTGAAGTTGCCATGGTGACGGCTTCACAGTACTCCACAGGGGGGGCTCCCTCTGGTAAGGGGGAAAATCCAACATTAGAAATTATGTTTGGTTCAGACATTTCCACCCCATAAATAAATACCCGAACAACGCCGAGGTTCATTACGAGCCTGTTGTCTCGGGAAAAGCAACCACACAACTCCCGTTCGAGTAACCCTCCCTCTTATACAAAAACTTCCTCAATCTTTTGGTAACCGGAGTGAAGGAACTGGATAGATATGGGTTCATTTTATTGCCATTTGACTTGCTTGCAGTACAAAGCGTTAACAAATCCATGAGAGGTGACCGCAGGACACGCCTGTTGAGGAATGGTCAGACAGGCACAACATGTACAGATACATACGAATCTCATCTCTTAAAAGCGGTAAGTATGAGAAGGGCGGGGAAAAAAAGCAGTCGTGTCAAACATAGCCATTTATTTTTCTTCTTATAAACAGCATCCATTTTCCTCACTGAAAAAGCCTAGAATTTATATAGGTTTTTTTTTTTCATCCCATCACTTACAACAATATGTATACATTATTTACATCTTTTCCAATATATGTGTTGCAGAATTTCAGACATCCAACTTTTTTGAAATCATTTTTTTTTTCATTAAAAAGCCATTTTTTTCCAGGTAGAACAAGTACTGATTTCAGTGACTACAAACTGAAGTAATAGATTGGCACAGTCTGCTTACAGTACAGATTACGTTGCATTTTTTAATTTTTAAATGATTTTGTGTGTGTGTGTGTGTGTCCATCCAGCATTGGCTATTACCTATTCCTCTATGATAAGCAGCTACCTTTTTTATTTTTATTTTAATAGAGAGGGTGTCACTGAGGAAGGTGAAATTTCTATCATTAATGCAGCATAAATTCTAACACACAGGATCTCTCTCTCAATTTCATCAGCCGAGTCAAATGGCTTTTCCAAAGCTGCAGGATTTTTGCCCACGTAATTACGTGGAAACTTGGAATGTTAACCAAAAAGCTTTCTGCGCCTCCAAAAAAATCTGTTCAAATTTTGAGTTGTCCAGAGAGATGCAAGTTCAGAAAAGCTTCAAGTTGATTCTGCTGGTTGTATATTCTCTCTATCTGATAAAAAAGCAATTGCCCCAATAGATCCTTTTCGAAGGCTATTAACTAAAGGAATCGCCAGTTTCCCTGGGATCTTTCTGTACTCTTCACCAAGAGAGCAAGAAAAAAAATTACTCCTATATTTTTTCTAATATGCTGCATGAAGAAGGACCTGGGTACCAGAAGGGACCAGTAAGTGGTTTCTTCTCAAATCTGTTTCCCCCCCCCCCCACTACATATTCAAATGCATTGATTCTCGTGACAATATTTAGCAACACGACATCAGTGAGTAAATTCAAAAATGGAACCAAATGACATTTCAAAAGATTTGTGTTCCAAATAACCTAGTAATAAGTGTACAAAAATAATGAGTACAGTTTAGTGGCTATAAAAAATTAATTTTCCCTAAAAATACATTAATCTATGAAAAACCTATTGAAAGGACAGTGCTCTTGGGAAAGAAAATAAGCAAATAAAGCATCTTAAAACTGGAGTTATTCTGCTATGGCAGGAGGGAATTATGTTTTAAAAAGGAAACACACATGTGCAATGGACATAGATGGAAATATACCTCTAACGTGGCTAGTGGTTCTAATAATGCAGTTTAGAAAAAAAACAAAAGTTTTTTTGCCCTATTAAGAAATGAAATTTATCCCCCTCCCCTGCATAAAATGCATCAAGTAATATGAGAGCATTGTGGTTGAAAAACTAGCAGGTCCGACTTCATATTACAATTTTAAAATATGAATTCTGGCATTTCACTTACACTTTAATATTTGGGGAGAAAAAGAATACATGTCTTAAATTATTTCCCAAATAAATCAACACACACAAACACACACTTCTCCCACGCCCCCCCCTCAGAAAAATAATCTTTATATGGAAATCTAAGAAAAGGCTTTCAGTCATGAGAATTAAAAAAAAATTAAGACCGGTCTATATAGCAGCATTGGCTTTTTGCCTATGGGATAAGTTTGAGAGAGTGGTGTCAACTCTAAATTCTTAATGGAGCCTCTGGTTCTGTAAGATTGCCAGTGAATATTCAAAATTCTCTCTTGCATAGTAAGCTGTTAAAGAAATGTTGGCAAGCGGTTGAAAAGGGGGAATTTTCCTTTTGAAGGCTATCTCTTTGAAGTCCACCTCAGTACTACTGGACAAAAAGTAGGATATTTTTTATCCTTGCACAATTAGCACGAATCCGACATGGATGTGTGAAGTAGGCTTGTGATTTCTAGGGCCAGGATGATAAAACCTTTCTCCCACCAACGTCAATTCTCTGGATTAAATCAATCCATTGGCTCAAGAAAAAACAACACCGCTGGTTTTAAGGAACTTGGATCTATGCTTATGACCATCCGGCTTGGTCAGCCTCATCTAATTAAGGTAGGTTACCTGTGCCAGGTGGGTAACCAAGACAAAGAGAGAACACTGACAGGTGATAGAGAGCATGAAGCCAGTTTTGACATTTTAAGGCTGTTCCTTCTTCATGGAAGGGACACAGTGTTTCCTTAACGGCTGGTCATAAGGAGATTAAAAAAATACGTATCTGCCCAATGTTTGGTACCAAAAGGGTAAATATGATTTCTACCACGGTGTCCTTTTAAATGAAAAGGCTAGATTCCAAGCTGTGACTTTTAAAAAATAATAATAACTACAGTGTTCAATTTTCAATACCTGTATTCAACTGAAAGATCAAGGAAGCTTTGTCTGTTTGTATCGTAACATACCTTTTAAACAATTAAGAATTTTCAAGACCGCCGGAGCAATCCCACTAAAAGCTTCTATAAATGCTGATCAAATTCAGAATAATCACTGTCTTAATATTGTCAATGCTTCAATCTTCAACGCTATAAGAAGAGTTGACCCAACAGCACTCTTAGTCAATGATCTCCAAGGGTTTATCATCCAAGAAGGAAATTAGCAATGAATGGAATCTATATTCATCATCGTTTCCAGTAAGTCCCTTAAATTTTAAGACTAAAATGATGGGAGATAATTATTTTGGCCAAGCTATATTGATTCTAATTAAATATCATTCTGAAGGTTTACTCATTTCAAGATCCAAAGATCTTGAGAGGATACCTAGCATTTTCTCTCTCTTATTTTTAACAGATTATCTTGTAGGAGTGGTTATAATTGCCAGATGGAGATTGGGCATATTTAAAATGGCTCATAACAGTCCCAACCTCTAAACTCTTTTCAACATCCCAACTGCGAACAAAAATATTTTCGATTAGCAATTTAAACTTTCAAATTTGAGATTCAGAAATTGGAACGGGGATTTCTGACTTCTAAAATCAAATATTGACAAAACGTGTTACGGACACCAAGATCAAATCTGGTTATGAAACATTGCCAAGATTTGGATTACCCTACCCACTTTTTTTAGTAGATCCATAGGAAGAACTATTGTTATTAATGGCTTCCAGGTTATAAGGGTCAAGAGTATAGCTAGACGATGTAATGGTAATTTGTTTTGTTTTTCCTCATTTTTATTTTTAATTTTCTTCTTCTCTCCCTGTATGCCTTTTATCACTACAGTTCTTAAAAGGTATATATAATGTCAAAGATAGAATAAAAACAGACTATGGGAAACTGTTGTGTGTATTAGACTTTAAGGTATCATTAATGGGCTTTAAATATTATTATATTATCACATGTTAATGTGATTTGTAACTAGTCCCAATGATAATCTGAGAAGTGAGCTTCAAGATTAGGATTTAAGGATACATGGAGTAATTTGTGTGTCAGGTCAATCCATGGAAACAGTGGCAAAGCAGACAAAATGTAGACATTCCCGAAAATTAAAAAATGGGGAGATTTTGGAATTAAAGCTCAAACCACTGGGGGCATTTAGAACAAGAGCCGATGATCCTAAGTCACAGAATCTGAAATAGGTCTTCTCGTTTTTGAATTCCTCAGCAGGAATTATCCCAAATTCTAAATATTCTACAATAAAGGACAGGAAGAGACAGGAAAATAAGCAAATTTGCAGATTTTTCATCAAAATTAGTGTGCCACCAATTCGAGTTATCTTAAAGGCCCACCCATTAAAAATCCCAAAATATCTCTGTCCTTTGCATCATGTTACAAGGGGTGCTCTCTTTCATAGCATTCTTGCCCAACTGAGATTATAAAGGGGCTACGGATTTAGGAGGCATGAAATGATAAACATACTCCATGATAAGTAGACTGAGACAATTTCTCTTAAGGTGAAAGCTCGGGGGTGTTTTATTCCCCATTTTAAAAATAACTATGGCGGGTTTATAGGTATTAATATATTGTCCCTTGGCTTCCCTTTCATTTTGTCTTGAAGCTACTGCAGGATTCTTGATTTAAACAGCGGGAGACTCAGTTTCATAAAGCACAGATTGAGGGGAAAAAATAATCCTACTTTCAGATCAAAATGAGTTCAAATCTTGGCAGAATGCACATCGTTGAAAAGTGGTGTGCCCAGAATTATTTCTTGGCCCCTACGATATCGAAGATGTATCAGATGGGTAGCTCAGTACGTTATTTTTAAAAAAATAATAATAATAAAGTGAGCCACCTAACTTATGTTCACTTCTAAAGTCATTGCTTTCCCTTAAAAGACTGGAGATCACCGATAGACGTTATGGCTTTTAGAAAAAGGTTTGCACATATTAATTACATATAACAAGTATTAAGAAATGTCCTAGGTAGCTGTTTTGTGTTTTCTGTTTCCAGCAATATTCTTAAGTTTGTGCTTTGTACCTCAGAAGAGAATCTACCAAGGCACTTAGAGAAGATTTAGTCTCTTTTAAGGACCTTCTGAGAATGTCCTGTTGTACGACTGGCAATCCTGCACTTTTCAACTAGCAAGGTCACATTTCCCAACAAGCATGTCTATTTTCCTTTATTAACACACAACAATCTGCTAAAAATCAATAACAATGAACAAGAACAGAAAACCATTTACTCTGTGTGTGTGTGTTGTGTGTGTGTGTTGTGTGTGTGTATCACTAAGTGAAAGAGGTTTCACTAATAAAAAGCACAGAGAATGGATCTAGGTTGCCTGAATTAAAACAGAAGTTTCCTTTCCTTTCTAAAACAAACAAAACAGAAGGTTTCAAACCTCCTCCACGCACTTACTCGGGAGTTAAAAGTCCCGTGGAATTTTTTTTTTTTAAGTGCGTAGAGGGTTTTCAGCCCCAAATCCCTAAAAACCCCACATGCCTGCTTTAAAGAAAACAAACGGATTCCCGCCATTTCATTTTCGCTTATCTGTCCTTGGAAGTGAGTTTTTCAATCAGTTCTTGGAGCGGAGCAAGTTCTCTTCTGTCTATAAGGTTAAATTCCTGTGGGAGGTAAGAAATAAAAAACAGCGTCTCAATCGGATGCTTAAGGGAAAAACATTAAATCACAGGAAGCAAAAAAAATCAGTTTATGGGGGAGATTAGGGAGAAAAAGACAGACCTCCTGGGAAGAAAGAAACGAACTTTCTACAGAAAGTCCTACTTCTCATCTCTTGGGGAATGCACGGATAGCCAGAAATTATCTCTTGGGCATAAATGAGTCTGCATATGTGCAATGAGTCTATTTATAAGGTGTTTATGCGTGTATGAAAATATATAATATAATATAACATAATATAACATAATTATTATATATATATAGCAAAGGTCACTGTCCATGGTCCCATTATGGTGATAAGCACAACACTGAAATGACTGAGTTTGGGAATATAAAACATATAAACAGGTAAACGGCATGAATTTACAAATAAAAGAAAAATAGATATGCTGTGTGTCTATGAAGGGGAACGGGAAGGATGCATTAACTCTGAATGGGGTGGTTTAATCTTAGGGAAAGGAAGTTACATGCAGAAAAGTCAAGTTACAGTATTTAAATTACAAATGAGAGAGCTAAAATACATGTTAGAAAATATAAATTGATGTAATTTAGTCTGTTGTCATGGTATATGAAAAGTAGAAATCCATAAGTTATGATAATTGCACACCGCACTGCAGTGAATGATAATTCTAGGACTATTGATGAATTTTGAGAAGAAAATGTGCCACGTTCTGAATAAACACAGTTTTAATATTTCAAAGATCTCCTGGGGAACAGTGACGATAAATCAAACAGCCGAATTAAAATGCATGCTATAAATATCAATACCAAAGGGGGAAAAAACTGATGACAAGGAAGTAGTAAAGGCTGCCAAAAATGTTTTAAAATTGTATTATATACTATAGAATATTTTAGGAAGGAAAAAAAATTATAATTTTAATAATTAAACTGAGTTTACCAAGTAATGATTGAAATCTAATCCATCCTGCCACTATATGCAGAAATCTGCAATTGTAAACTATCAATCATTGTATTATTACATTATACTTTACAATATATGGAGCATCTGGTATTTAGGTAAATTCTCAGTTTGATGTTATACTAACAAAACATTTTGTTTTCGCACGATGGATGTTTCCATATGTCAAATCCTAAACATTTCAACTTCTGCTGTATAACTACAAGTTCAATTCTCGCCTCATAGTTGACGAAATAAGGCTGAAATTATCGGCCCATTATCACTTCCTGCTTTCATTTTCTTTATGAATCAGTATTTTAGATCTGCGTTATTTTTGCGGGGAAATGCCTGATTTTGTGGCACAGAATTTAAATAATTATGGCGATGCAGTGGTGAGATTCAAATTTTTTTACTACCGGTTTTTGGGGGCGTGGTATGGCTTGAGGGCGTGGCTTGGCATGGCAGGGGAAGGCTACTGTAAAGTCTCCATTTCTACCCCACCCCACTAACCTGCTTTCCAGCTCTGTTCTCCTGTGCAGGGCAATAGAAGAAGACCCAGCCAATCAGGTGGGACTCGGGAGGCAGCAAATAGATGGGGGCGGGGCCAGCCAGAGGTGGTATTTGCAAGTTCTCTGAACTACCATATTTTTCGGAGTATAAGGTGCTCCGAAGCATAAGATGCACCAAGAATTTAAAAAGGCAAATTAAAACGTTTTTGCACTCTGCAGACTTCTCCAAAACGGCCTGTTTTTTGTGAAAACGGGCCCATTTTTCCCCCAAAAAGGGCATGAATAGTCTTTAGGAGGCTTGTAGAGTGCTCCTGGTTTGGGGGGGGGGCTGGGGAGCAAGCAAAAACAGGGCATTTTTTGCAAAAACGGGCCTGATTTTTGTCAAAAAAAAAGGGCATGCCTTAGCCTTTGGGAGGCTTATAGAGTGCCTCCTAAATAAACAGCCCATTTCTTGCTCATTTCTGCCCTCCCTAGCCCCCAGGAGCTCTCTGAAAGCCTCCTAAAGACTATGCACGGTTATTTTGGTGAAGGGGACGGGGTTTCAGGAGGCCAAAAATGCTGCATTCAGTGTATAAGACGCACCCAGATTTCCAGCCTCTTTTTTTGAGGGAAAAAAAGTGCGTCTTATACTCCGAAAAATACGTTACTCAAAATTTCCACTCCCAGTTCGCCAGAACCAGTCAGAACTGACTGAATACCACCTCTGGGGTGATGCAAGTGTGGCACAGCGAAAAAAGGCAAGATTCCGGTTTTCAGCCGCTTAAAAAATGATTTACCGGAAAAACTTTTCCCCTTAAGATGGCAGAAAGCGCCACGGATCATTTTGTACGTGCAAAATTAAATCCCAGGCCATTGAATTGCTGCGTTTGTTTACCTGAACGAAAAAGATAAAGTGCTTGAAGGACGTGTTGAGATGCGCTTCTTCTTGAAGCTGGATCACCGGATCGAAGTGCTGGTGATATATGTGAGCATAAACTCTGAACAGGCGCTTCAAGATGGTCTTAGCTACCGACATGAAATTCTTTGGGAAAGGAACACCTAGAAATCAAGCAAAAGGGGAAATCATTCTGATTCTACCAAAAAGGTTACCCCCTTTACAAGCAAGCGAGGGCCTAAGCACTGTGCAAATACAGGTTTGTCCCAGAAAAAAAATATTTAAACTATCCAGCAGGTTTATTTAAGTGTCTGACCTGAATGAAATGGGCCGAGGCTTCGCCAACCTGGTATGCTGAGAAAATGATTCTCAGAACTCTCCAATCAGCATAGACACCCCCCGGGAACTCTCAAAGGCCCTCAAAGTTGCTTGGATCAGCAACCAAACCTCTCAGATTAATAAAGATTGGTCCAATTTGTTGTGGCCTGCCAATGGCCAGCAGAGCTGGCGGCAGATTCGGACAGTGAGGAGGTTGGGGAGGAACCTGGGCCAGTCCTGGAGTCTGGGGAAAGCTCGGATGAGGACTCTGCATTGGAGGCAGAGAGGGAGCCAGGGCTGTCTGACAGTTCTCAGTTGCCTTCGGAGTCAGACATCAGTGAGGCAGAAGAACAGCTGGAGCCTGTTCCCAGTGTGCCCATGCGCAGAGCCTCCAGGAGAAGGGAACAGCTAAGGAACAAGGGCCAACTCGGGAGTAAAGCCACTGGGGGACGGTGAATGGCCTCTCTCATAGGGAATAAAAGAGGAGTGGGAAGCTAGAAGTGGGGGGGGGGGGTCACGTGACTTTAATGAACCAGGATGAACCACTTAATGATGGTAACGAGACTGCAGGAACGGCCATCACTAGGCCGTGTGGTCACCTGACACTCCCCTTTATGATCCCTTTGCTTAGTGACTGAAATTCTGGTCCCAATTACGGTCATTAAGCAAGGACCACCAGGAGTCATTTTTATGGAACTCGTCTAGTGTTTTCACCATAATATCCTTTGCAAAGATCACTAAACATGAAGGGAAAGGATTAGAAACATAATCTATTCCAAAATTATCGATTGATTTTAAATAAAGATCGCTAAACAATGACATATGTTTTGGACTCTGCCTGGAATCTTTTTGATGTCATGCTGAAACCGGCTTTCTGTAAACTGTCCAACTGTTATCAGTATTAAATATATATTTTTGGCAGCCTTAATATCTAAGATGTTGCCACAAAAAGGAGGGGGGGCAACCTGTTCTCCAAAGCACCTGAGGGCAGGACAAGAAGCAATGGGTGGAAACTAATCAAGGAGAGAAGCAACTTAGAACTGAGGAGAAATTTCCTCACAGTGAGAAGAATTAATCAGTGGAATACCTCCAGAAGTTGTGAATGCCCCAACAATGGAAGTCTTTAAGATGTTGGATAACTATTTGTCTGAAGTGGTCTAGGGTCTCCTGCTTGAGCAGAGGGTTGGACTAGAAGACCTCCAAGGTCCCTTCCAATTCTGTTATTCTGCATCCTTCAGAAGTTTGTATCTTTTTCCCTGCCTGATGGTGGTTTTTTTTTTTTTTGGTTTCCTTCTGTACCTTCAGACATAACATAAATGACCACCCCATTTTTAAGCTTGGTTTAAAGCCAAAGCCCTCATTTTAGAGTTACCTATTTTGGATGGAAACAGCGTCTCATCGTCCAGCTGATCCTGCACCCAGGTCATCAGGTAATCGATGTACTTTGGTGCCGAGCATTTAATTGGCTTCTTGATGTTTGTCCCATCTGCCCAATGATATTATGGTGAAAACACTAGACGAGTTCCATAAA